TGACCACTTTCATACTGTCTGGAGATTTCACACTGTGCAATAAACTCCTGCCTTCAGGTACTAAAGCTCCAAGTCGTTCCTGCACTTGGACTGTCTTGGATACAACTCGACCGTCCTCTGTTATGAGCTGCCTGGCTGATTCAATATCAGCCTGCATTGTGGGAACTTTAACTGCATAAATAGATCACAATTAAAGAATATTCCCATATTACCTTACAGGTTTGTCATTTTGAATCAGTATTGGAGCATTCTGTTCTGTATACATGTATATAACACAGTACTTTTATTTACCATCTACATAAGAACTGTTTGTACGTTATTAATTTACAAAGTGAACAGCAACATGTTGACACATATTTCATCATCAGGTGATTAATTTATGTACAGCATAAATACTGCATTAATATCAATTCATGTGCAAGCCAAATTTGTAAAATAATTTTCTTCTAATAGATTCATTAAAGGAACATATTACTATACATATTTGCTAATAAAGCCAAATCAACAAGAAGCAAAGTTAAATTTGACATAAAATGCCAAAGTTATTAAGGTGAATTCTTATATTTTGATAGTGCGTGGCCTGGTATATCATGCATTTATTTAGTGTGGGTAATTATAGTGAATGGAAACTGAAATATAATAATATGGGGTTATGTACTGGACTGCAGAGCATTTGAATTATTATTAGTATTATTTAACTAGGGATTATTTGGTAAGCTGATAATGTGTAGTAATTATTATTACACATTGCCAGAACAAAGCAGTTTTATGATACTATGTGTTGGGGATGCTGACCTGTAGCATATGCTATGATGAGACACCTGAAAAGGTGAGTAAGTCAGACTTGTGAGTTAGTTCTCATGCCTTTCATGAAGGCTGTAGGCCAGGCTCATTATTAGTAAACATTGCATTAATGAAATGTATCACAACATGACCTTGTGAAGCCAGTTCATAAATTAATACCTTTATGCATTGTATCTAAAATGGAACATGCCATCAATTCTACTCTCATGACCAAGCCGATGTAAGCAATCACATACCATTCTTATAAATTGAATTTCCTTTTCTAACTTATCTCGCATTGTAATTTGGAGACTGCAGGTTTGAATTTCTAAGGTGAATATTTTCTATTCCTCAAAAGTACAACATTAACAGTCTTCCTTAAAAAATTTCTTACTTTTTTGAATTTCATTTTTATTGATAGATTTCTTCCTTTGTTCTTGTTTGAACACTCCAGCATAGGGCAAGACAGTCTCTCTGGAGATTAGGCTGTCCTCCAGGTATGTTTTGTCTTCAGAAAAGTCCTGGTTTGATGTAGAAGACACCTGAGATTTCTCACCCAGGCGTGAAAATACTGATGATTGCTGTAAGGGTATCACTGTGATATACTGGAACAATTTCATGAAATAAAAATCCGCATTATCTTATTCTACACTATACTTACCTTCTTTAAGCTTACTGAGTAGGTGCTGAGATGTTCTGGACATGTTACATAACTTATTGTTTGGTGGGATAGAAAGGACTGGAAAGTGCACTTATGACTATCAGAGAAATACATATAATTCATGTGTGTTGGTCAGTACCATAAATAAACCCACCATTCGATCACATTGATCTTATTTACTTAATAGTTTAAGATGATGGACTGTTATTTTGTAAGTCTGAATTTAAGTACTGTTCCGTGACACTATTTGTTAAGCATCTTGATTTTTAATTTGTTTCAGAAGCTCTGATTAAGTTGTATCAGTTACCTTCTCTGATGAACTGCTAGCAGGTTTCACAATATTTAACCCCAGTCCAGTAATTGTTATGCTTGGGACTTCACTTTCAGTGGTGCTTGTAACAGATCCATCTCCCAGCCTATCAAACACGGTCTTCTTTTTCTGAGTCACTGTAAAACAAACACCTGTGAACTGTGTCTAGTGAATCATTCAAGACATTACCATTTCTTTTACAATAGTACTTACACATTCCCTGTTTGGCTAAAATCCTCTGTGTACGTGGGGTTGATCCAGATGGCATTGTGATTTTGTAGCGACCTTCATGTTCTGGCAGTACACGGCGCACTTTCTTTACAGGTGATGCCAGTACTTCTTCTTGAGGTTTTGTTTTCAGCGTCTGCTTCTTTGTTTTTGAAACTGAAGTACTAGGAACACTAGTTTTCTGTTTTTCTAATAACACTGCTGTAAGATAATCCAGTTAAATTCACATCTCAAGAATTAACAGATTTATGGGAAAGGAAAAATCTTTGTTAGGTTCAATCCAGGTCATTCTATGTAAGTGAGCAAACTTGTCATAGAATAAAGAGTTGCTAACTTACTTTGCTGAGTAGATGCATCATTATAATCATCATCACCACAACTGCCCCCACCATCACTTGAACTGGGATCAGTTTTTCTTACATAATGATCTAACATTCTGGAAGCAGCTATAAATTAACAAATTTATATTACAGTTTAGTCATCATTGGGCTAATTTATAAATAGCATGAAGAGGTCCTCAATATTTTCATTAAAGAGTAAAATAAAAATTAGTTATGAAGCAAATGAGATAAGTGCAGATACTGATTTTGATCAGAATACTAATAATTCTGATGGCATTAATATTGAATACATAGTATTAATGATTACAGAAGTGAGAATTTTTTAGCTAATCCCAGACATGCTACATGCAATGTCAAGAAAAGACAGAATGTTTAGCAGTGAAACCACTCTGATGATGCTGAAGATACGTAGTATAAATGTAAACAGTACTAGTCTTGTGTTAATTCCTTTATACTGAAATCTTTAATTTTTTCACTCTTGTATATTTAGAAATTATGTATTCAACTGCAGTACTTATATTAAGAGTGTGGATAAGAGATAAAGGTTGGATAGGTGTCTTGGTAGCACATCCTCAGTGTACTAACTAGAAGTCTTCCATTCAAAGTTTCATTCTTCCTTAGAGAATTATGCTTTATAGTTCAGTCAATACAGTGACTGGCTACGGACTGGACAACCAGGGTTCGTTCCCCGACAGGCAGAGGATTTTTCCTATAGCCTCTGGGGTCCGCCCAGCCTATGAAATGGACAAGCAGGATTTGTTCTCTGACGGGCAGAGGATTCTTCCTCTAGCCTCTGCATCCAGATGGGCTCTGGGGCCCACCCAACCTCCTGTCCAATGGGTACTGGGGTCCTTTCCTGGGGGTAAAGTGTGGCCGAGGCATGACACTGACCACTCACCCCCATTTAGTGCCGAGGTTAGGAATGAGTAGGAGCTATACTGTCTCTCACCCAGAGCGCCTACATAGTGTAAAGTGGGACAGCTTTACTTTTTTAATTTTACAGGTAGACAAAAACAGTCAATTCGCTTTCAACTTCCTCTTACTTATAGCAACGGAAATAGAAATCAAAACAATGGTTTAAAAAGTAAGATAAAATTCTGTTCAACAATAACAATCTGTTATCAAAACAGGTTAGTATATGAGAAAATATATATATATATAAATGTATGGAATTTTGGAAATCTTATCAATTGGAGCACTGACGGTGACCTTGACTGCTACAGTCCTATACCTGGCAGTGATGATTTTCGCAAATTACTGGAAAACTTACGAGTTGATTTTTGTGATGATTGTACATTGCCTGAAGTTCCAAGAACTTTATCTCGAGCATTCTGGAAAGAATATTAAAAATATACATATTCTCTCTTTTTCTCTCAATATATATTGGAATACTACATTTTTAATAGCTGCTGTTTTACTTGGTTACTGGAAAACTACTGTATGAAAATCCCTTTGTGAGTAAACAAGCAAATTTAAAAAATATGTTCTATTGCATTTGAAAATGTTCCATATTTCTTCAACAAATCCAAAATGTATTAGATTATACTGTAAGGTTGTTCCAAAGACTGATGCTGATTCAGAGTGATCATGTTAGATCTGTCTTTGGACATCCTGGATTACACAGCAAATGTCAACATATATAACATTTGGAGAACAATCAGTTAAGTGGATGTGAGGTTTGTAAACCTCAGATGATTAAAATTAACAGTGGTATGAGTCTCCTTATCTACAGGTAATGTAATGAAAACACTTAACATGGAAGATTTAAGAGAACAAGGGCATTACAATTAAACATAATAAAAACAAAGGCAAAATTAAAATATATGAACCAGGTGGTAGGAACATATGTAAGCACTGCCTGTTTTGTTCTTACAAGGCACTAGGCTGCTTTTTTAAAATTCTGATATCTTGGGTGCCGGGTTCTAAAGATTTTCTTGCTGTTACCACTGCCATGTTTCAAGAATACTGTTGGGTTCTTCACAAAATTGAAAAATTACATTCATATGTAAATATGAGAAATTATGACTATATACCTGCTCATAAACATGTTTGGAGTGCCGGAGGATACCAATCACATCTCCCATTAAAGTTATTCCCATATCTTTTAAATACTCTTTATTGAGATCCAGCAACATATCCATTCGAATACGGTTATTAGAAAACGACAAAGCATAGGAAGCT